AAATGCGCTCCGCACACACACACACACACAAAGGCAACGGAGGAAAAGAGAACAGAACATCAACTCGGCATTAACAATGGCATCTCAACGATGATGATGACGACAAGATGCATCGATGAGAACGCGAACGGCAAAAACGATAAGCTACAGATAAAAGGGATTATGTTACGTTTTAGACAACACATAGATATAGATTATAAGAGTGAACGAGAACGATATACACAGAGAGAGAGAGGAAGAGGGAGAGAATGAGAGAGAAAGTCAGTGAATGGTTTTTATCGATGTGCATGTTTATTCTCATCGAATTGCTCGTGGTTGTACAACAAAAACAATAGCAGCTACAGAGCAAACGGCGAATTCTTTTTTAATATTTATTCAATTCATTTGGTGTGTTCCATCGTTGCTGCCCTCCTTTGCTATCATCTACAAACTGTGATACCGATAATATGCAATGTATACACACAATTCAGGGTGTGCTTCTTTTTCAAATATTGTTCCCCTTCAAAATTTGTTGTTCCTCATTTCATTGTCTCTTAAGTTATTAATAAATGCAAATTGATTCAGGATAAGTACTATCGACAATTGCCATCGATGTCAAAATACTTCGTAAACAATTTTATTTGCGTAATTAGAAACAAATTCATGGGTATTCGTCGAAGCGAAGCGTCTTTTTGTCAAAAATGAAATCATCAATCGGGATTTGCCCATTCATTTTTTTTTCTTCTTTTCAATTTTGTGTATTCAATGGAAGGAATTTCGTTTCCAAGAAGTATCTATAAGATTTCCTATTCGAACATATGAATTTATATCGAAATGAAGCCGTTGGAAATAAAAATGGTGACAGTTGAAAGAGCGCTTCATCGAGATCAAATTAAAGATTAATTGATTGATATTTATTTAGGATGGCGTCTGCCGCAAATGTGCACATTGAAAATTCTGATTAATTTACGTTTGGGTTATTTTTACAACTCTTCCCGGCCGTAGTTCATCATTGTGCAAATATTTGCAATTGTTTCTAATAAACTGAGCTGTTTACAAATCAGGCTCAACAATGATGTTTGAATACGGTGGAAACTTTGGTGTGTGTATGTGTGTGTGTTTTTCCTCGTCTAAATCGATCATTTTTTCGATGGCATCGTTTTCGAAAATTCATTCGTCAATTTTGTGATTGATTTCCTAAACATTGAATATTTATCATTAAATTAGGATAATTGCAAATTCTTGCTTCTATCAATCAACTGATATTATTCATTTATGTTGCCATTTCTGCATGGTTGCTTGTTGAGTTGGGCTGAATTTTCAAACACGTTATTAAAAATTCTCGAGAGAAACACTTTTCAGGCATTTTGTTTTGTGCGCTGATAACTGATGGCAAATTATCATCGAATCGCCAATGATACGGCAGTTTACCACCGTCTGTCCAATTCTCACGATAGAGTAGAAAAACAAGTTGTCATTGATTTTTCCACCCCAGCTGTGAAACCGTTGTCGATATATTGACATTTGAAGCATTCGCTTGTTTATTCAAAATGGAATTCAAAGCGAAAAAAAATTTAAATCACAAACTGGAATTCATTGCTCACATTGAGGCGGATTTGTCTGTTGTGCGCTGTGATCATTCGAAGGCTATCTACATAAAAATGGATTTTGAATGTTTATTTATATAATAGCTGCGGAGAAATCAACAGAAATGACAATGTGCACCATGATTCCAGTTCCACCCAAATTGACGCAAACCACAGATGGGATTTCAAAGATTGTATCTTGTGAAAACAAATTCATTCCATTTCAATAAACTCGCTCGTTTTGAATATTTCTAAATGAAATCGGTCCCATTTGGAAATATCATACAATTTACGCTGTTGATTCATTTTCCCCCAGAACCGTACGACACACGATACACTTTATTTCGACCCATTAATATTTTACGCCGCAATCCATTGTGTGTGCGTACAGAACGAATGTTTGTGTGTATGTGTTTATGTGCTTGAGCATGTTCTATCCGAGTGCATCTCATTTCTGATGGTCGTTTGGAAGGGAAATGTGAAAGAACAAAACGAAAAAAAGGAAACCAGTACCGAATTTATTATAATTTGCTTGAATGTGTATAATTGCATGAGTGCGTGTTGCGCGCGTGCTATAATGTTCAATGTGCGTAGCAGCAGAAGAAAAAAACAGGGGCTGTGAAATGTCTCAATAGAGTGTGAGAGGGACCTCGATTCTATGTCGTACACACAGTTCGAACCACATATTGTCTATTTCGCATTGCAACTCATTTTCGATATTTGTGACGCCTTGTGCATTTCACTTTTCCACCGAAAATCATCATTCACAAAGTCGAAGATGCATGACAAATGGACGCTAAAGTATAACAATAAATATTAGAGTGGATTAAATGGGAACTCCTCCAGTTATATATATATATTGAAATGCACCCCTTATGCAATTCCTATATTGGCTGCAAAATCAAAAAGTATATTCGGAGAGTGAGTGAGTGCTTCACACATAAGTATTTGTATGTGTCAATCGGTCTTTGTATTGGCAACGGTGTTAAGAGCTTGACAGTTTGACATCTACAATGACTCAATAAATGATATGAATTATTATTGAATATTAAACTTAAATAGAAATAATCGGATTGGCATTTTATCGATTCAATAAAGTTAGTATCGAAAAATTTGATTATCGTTGTGGATTTGGTTTTTTATGGATCTAAACAGTGTACACAGTGCTGAAAGTGGTGTTTAGAGCACTTACAATTTTATTCTAGTGTATAAAAACGGATTTGGCGTTTTCCATTTTCATACAAATTGATATCGAACATTGCCTAACCCAACGCAATTCAAAACAAGAGCATCTCCACTCACAACCATTGTCCCGACTCATATCTTCCGTACATTTACAACATTCGAGCCATTGGAATGGTTTTAGTCTTGCATGAATATTCATGTGGCTCATTCACAATGAACGGTTTCAACACTAATACAACGATACGCGATTTGCCTCCCTCACAACGATACACGCACACAAGCGAACGTCGAACGAGACTGGTAGAGCGGCCGACAACCAACAGCTGTGTCTATATGCGCAACAACACACAAATCACACACAAACACATTTACACATTCTGAATTGTATACGCCGAAGGGGTGCTTCTTCGATTCATTCGGTACCATCCACATCTCGAGGGTTCGTGTTCGCATCGAAGCGGTATAAGCGGTCGTACAAAATCGTCGTAGTTGTCGTTGTCGGCACGGTTTTTTCCCGTATTCCGTATAAATCTGCGCTGTTTTACATTGCGCTAGTTAGTTCTGTTCGCGACTTGCAACCGATAACAACGTTAAAAACACACATACACACTCGATTCGTTTCGGAATCGAACCGATTTGAAAAAAAAAAATTGATTAAACAGCGATAACATAAAAAATATTGTACTTTTATGGCAAATAGCTAAAAATTAGCAAACCGCCAAATTACAAATGCTATAACGATTTGATATGAGAAAAGAAGAAGGAGAAAAAACAATTGTAAAACACATTGTAGCATTTAAATTACATTTTTTGCGAATTAATCGGTTTTGTTAAGATTTCGTCTGTTTTTTTTTTTTGTCCTTCGACTGGAATGAACTATTTTTTTTGCAAACTGCTTTCCGGTACAGAGAAAAGTTTGGATACCAACGAAAGCAGCTCATTTTTACGAGAATCAGAGTGAAATACAAATGTAATTGGAAATTTTCGGATTTTTCTGAGAAGAAAAAAAAATTATTCGCCTTTGAATCGTTTTTGAATTTTGTGAATGTTGCGAGAAAAAAAAATTGCAAAAAATGAAAATATTTTGTGTAGTGCTTGTTTTTCATCATAAGATAAATCGCAGTTTTTCAGCGAAAATACAATAAAGATAGGAGACAGAAAACAGAGAGAAAAAAATACAAACAGTTCGGCATATGAAAAAGCGGAAAAACGCTGTGTAAAAGCGAATAAGCGGATATATTTATAGCAAGTAACGGCAGAATCGATTCGCTCAATAATGCATAAGTTTTTTTTTCTGTATGCAAATTAAAGCGAACACATTTTTAATTGATTTAATCATTAAATTTATGTTGAGCGTGAAATGTGCTCTCCTCTTTTTTCATCTCTCTTTTTCTCGTGCTTTTTGCAATTTTACCACAACAGCAGCAGCAGCGAACCGAACCAAACCGATCGGATCGCATTTGGTATTTTAACGCTATCACACTGAAATCGATAGGCTGCTTTTGAGATAAAAAAATTTTTTTTCATCCGAAGGGCCAGGGATTGGTGTGTTTTTTTTTTCGCGTTGTAAAATTTTCAGTTTCATTGAAGAATATTGGAAAATCCTTGCCATTATTAATTATCTCGTACCAATTTCACGGTGCTTATTAAATTCAATGAATTTTGTCAATGTTGTCATAATTAAATATATAATCATTTTTCCCCATGTCAACGCGTGCCGAACATTGGTTTTTTTTCTCTCTCTGTCCCAATAAAACAACAATAATCTTCATTCCATTAAATTCTTCAGTTTGCTAACGAATACACATACAACAACAAAAAAAAACGGACAGTCCGAATTTTTTACTGCCTCAGGCAAGTTCAAAAAAAAACCGAAGAAGATAAAGGAAAAAAACATTTTCAGTTGAAGTGGCTACTTTGAGAGACGGAATTTATTGAATTTTGTACGATAATTAAAATTCTTTACGAGAGAGAAAAATAGAATACGACAAATACTTGAAGGAGTATTACAAACGAATTGGATACCTGAAACAAGTCTGTCAATTATTTTCGGTCACAAAAACAAGAAGAAAAAAAACGAGGACTCTTCGAGAAAGACATTTCAATCTTGAATGACGTAGTTTTGATTGATAACATAGAAATGTGAAGCATTTTTTTGGTTTTTGACATCAAGTTCTAAACGACCTCAAAAAAAAGAATTAAAAATAAAAGTGAGTTACGTTTATTCGGAGGAAAAAAAAGAATAATTAAAAAAATTGGTGAAAAAAAAATAACGAAAAAGTGAAGCGAAAAAGAGAAAGAGAGATAACGAAATAAAGCATAAAAACTAAAAGCGTGTCAAGAACACAATCATAATTTTTAAATATCGGAAATTGTGCTATGGTTTATCAAACATTTGGAATCGAATTTTAGCCATGGCGCACCGCAACAAGTCTAGGTGAGGTTTTTTTTATACCACACACTTTTATTTAAACTAACTTGTGACTTTGAGTTTGATTCAATTTGTATGCGACGCTGCATATAAATTGTCAACATATATTGGTGAATGAAAGTTGGGTGTGTTTTTTTGTCCGTGTACCTTGCAGAAAAAAAAAGAGTAGCGTAATCAAAATGAAAAATGTGTGTTGGTTCACAAACTCTTCATAGATGATTATTATATTTTTGTAAAAAAAAAAATCTGGTCGAGGTGTGCGAGACACACACACATGGTGTAAAGTGAAATATCGAACTGGATTGAAAATAAAAACTTTGATATAATTTGGACGAAAAAGTGGTTGTGGTTATGAGCGAGAGTGAATTGTTCAATTTTTTTTTTTGCTCTACCAAGAGAATGTATGCCAAATGTAAGATAATGGATGAAAATGAGAAAAACCACGAACCACAATAAAAAAAAAACTTCTTGCTGCATATGGGATAGGTACAATAAAAACGCCATTTATCGGTATAATTATTGAGCTGAATGCAATATCGCAGTTGTCTGATCCAACGAATTTCGAATCGAATACATATTGAGGCACATAGAAATCAGGCTTGAATGGAAACTCTGATAAAACGCCATTGAGGGGATATTGGCAACGCGGATTTTCTATTCGTGTCAGAACAACACACTTCCAGCGATTGATGTCATTTACTCAATTGGATTTATCGTGTGAGATACCATTTTTATTAGTTTCGTTTTACTCTGTCTCTCTGTCTTTCTCGCTTTCGATTTTCCTTCCCCTCGCTCAATGAAATTCTATGGATTTTGCCAGTTGCTACACCATTTATTCATATCCATATCCATTCATTTCGCATTCAATCTCGCGCGCGCGAGAATTGCATTCAACTTTTTCCATTCTCGATGGCATGTTCCGGCGTTATTTCGGAGAACCACAAGTGGAAAACTTCAACTGGTGAATAACGTGTTGTTGCCTGCAATTTTCATTTAATTTCCAAGCAAAACCTCGGTGAGCAGCACAAAAAAAAAATCATTGTAAATCAATGTGATGCTCTTTTTCACGGTTTCTATATCTCTCTGTGTGTGCGAGTGAGTGTGTGTGGTATAGTTTTTCCGTTGCATCGCAAAGTCAAAGCAATAAAACCGTTTTATTTGCAATAAATATTGAAAAGCGGAGTAAATAAAATAATCCCATTGACTAAACACTCGCGCTGTAGGAATTTAATAATGACGCGAATGAGAGGAGAGAAAGGGAGATAGCGAAGAAAAAATGCAATGAATAATACCGTGCAAATGATTTGTGTGCACTGTACACTGTACAAGAGAAAAAAATTGTTGAACAAAAACGTAAATAATGCGAACACAGAGAACAGACGAGAGAAGATAAACTTAAAACTTGAAATACAATCGGCACTAAACCAACAAACGGCAAGCCAAAGAACAAACTACGAAACGAACCTGAATGAATCACACACACAACCGGACTGAATACATACTGTAGAGCACAAGCCGAAGCCAAGCCAGGGGAATTTTTTTTTACAAAACTACACGCGAAAAATCGCCAAGACGCAAGCAATCAATCTTTCCAACATCCAATTTCATTCCAATTACGATTCTACTGTGAGAAAATTAAAACGATTTATTCGTGTTGAAAAAGTTTTCGGTGGAAATTTTTCTAGCAATCGTATAGCTGTGCCATATTCGTATCTTAATAACCATCCAAATAATTTTTAGAGATTATTGAGATCCGATCATAATACCGATAAATCTTAATAACGCTATCAACTTTTTATCAGGTTATTAACTATATTCAAATAATAAAGTTACCGGATGAATCTTAATAATATCGTTTTGAAGTTATTAAGATCGAATCCTGATAATTTATCAACATTCAATCTTAATAATCATCAAGTTCTGGAAGTGGGTTTTGGTGGACCCTCAGGATCGACCAGAACTGCTCCCAGTTCTGGAAGTGGATCTTCAGGATG